GCACAAAGTGACAGAGAACTCGATTCGCTTTAACGAAGAGTATTAGCCGTTACAAACCCACACTTCCTCCCCAGAAAGCTCAACCGAAATACATTTTTCAGGGGCATATATATTGTCATCCGCATTATATATACATATGTATATATATATATATATATGGTTTGGGGAGCGACAGGTATAGACGTAAGCATATTTGCCCTAAAAGAACAAAAGCAAAGAAAATATGTTTTTTTGTGTGTGTATAAAGAGGTGTACAAAGAGTTTGATTATCTAAAAAGTACTTACACTTAATCGTAGTTTTCACACAATCATTCGAAAATATTAGTAAATTTAGTGTCTTATTACAAACACTAGGAACAGTAAAAGTACAAACTACGTTCATTTCACGCACTCTGTTCGACATTACGAACATCGTTGTGTTTCAGCCTTGTGCCTCATCTAAGCTATGTTTAATAACTCATTATATGCACAGTGAGAGAGAATGTTTTTGGGAGAAATACACACACACACAAACACATATGTATTGCATGGAATATTGCTGTCATTCATGGTTTGGTGCTCCCTCTGTACGTCTCGATGTCCTCGACCAAAACCCAGAGACTAATATGCAATATGATAGTTCCTGATCTAGCATCAAGTCTGTTGTGGATTCCGGGATGAAATCCGGTCTCAAATGAATGACAAACGCAGGAATGAAATATAGCAAATAAATGTATTGACGTCAGAATACAATTGGTAATACGGTTAGTAGATCAAGGAATGCGGTTAGTAGCAATAATAATATATATACAGTCTGGGAAATTCAGTATCGAAGTAGTACTTCCTTCTGAGTCTACGTGCTCGCAACTGTGACTCCTACAAAGCGGTTACCTCACACTCTCACTCTCTCACTGTATCACTGTCACTGTTTCACTCCCTGGTATTCACCAGCAGCAGTATAAGTACACACTGGGCAAGTCTACTTGTATGAAATAGGGTGGACCCCTTAACAAAGTCTACAATCGCTATCCCACAGACGTGCCGTGGCTTCCCTTTGTCTTTTCTACAAGTATTTTCACGGTATCTGTTCAGACAATCTACTTTCGCTGCTTCCCAGACTGCATGAATTTAAGCGAGCTACTAGGTTGGCACCTCGGTCCCACCCTTTCACTGTCGAAACGGTTTAATGTAACCCGTCTCTTCTACTCAAACATCCTCTTTTCTCGGACTTCCCGTCTGCGGAACTGCTTTCCCCTTACTTGCATCCCCGATGACTATAATCATCAAATATTCAAGTGTAATGTCAATCGACATCTGACACCCTGAGCTTTTTACCCGTCCTTCTCTGTATCCTTTCCGCAAACATGTCTCTTTACTCTTATTCGCAATCCTCTGTAACCCCTTGCGTGCTATTCGCACTCCCGCCTTGCTTGGGGTGAATTGCTTGTCATTCGGAATTGATTATGACAAATCATATTCAGTTATAAGCATCTCTTTTATAAATAGACACCAAATGCAAAATGAAACAACACAAAAGTAAATATACAAGAATGTCATTCATCTTTTACTTTATATCTCATTCACTAATGAAGCTTTAATAAAAGCGAAACATGCTTGTTTGATAAGCGCTTCCTCTTTGTTCTTGTTCATATTGCAGCCTCGTCTGTTGTGTTCATTTTCGCATAAATACACTTGGTAAGTTATACATCCACCCTCTGTATCTTACTATTTTATATGTTTTAATTTAGTAAACGGTAGTAGTGCCGGTAGGACATCGAGTACTTGGTCTGTATAAAAAATTCTACACTTGAAGTCTAATATTGTTATATTTTGGAGGCATAATTAGACATTCCGATCATGAAAATCATTTTTGAGGGAAGTTATCTTGCTATTATCGACCAGCATACGTCCACATTTAAAAAATTCGGGATAAAAAAAAACCCAGTTGGAACAAGTCGTGTAAGTGAAAATAAGTTGCATCTATACATATATATGTGCGTGTTTGTGTGTGTCTGTGTGTGTGTGTGTGTGTGTATCACACACGGATTCGCGGTATCACAACTCTTCAATGTGGCTAGACACGCGATTGCTTCAAGCCGGGATAGACACTAGACCTATTTGACATCACTCGGTGACTCTTACCGTTAGGCTACGAGGAAGTGAATTATTAACGTATTATATACATGATATTAGCATATTCAGTTTGCCAGAGTGCTCTATTCATTACGAAGACCCTAGCACTATATATCACGTAGTTGATATATATATATATATATATATATATATATATATATACATTTATTATAATACAAAATTACCTCATGGCAGGAATAGATCTGTTTCACCCGACAAAAATTTAGTCCGTCTTATTCAACCACAGTGTATAGATTGATTTCGTGTCAGACGACCAGCTGATCAGTTGAACTCTCTGCCTTCGGGCGGGGAGGAACTCGAAGGAAGTTACGCCGAAGGACGGATTCTCTTTCGGGGAGATAAATTGATCCTGAACCCGTTTATACGGGTTCAAAGGGCATATTTTTGGCCGAGCCCACGGGCTTGGAGATCCCACGTTAAACCGGCCTTGTGCCACATGATGCCTTCGTGGGGGGGGGGGGTGACTAAATACCGCTCAGTGAGTTGGTGAGTCAGTCGATGTCGGACATTAAAGTATCAACCACCACAACTAGATTGCTGCGTCATTAACTGTTATATCAAGTTCCTAACGTTTTGTACGTCGAACCTTTTTAGAACCGACTTAGTGAAATACAAGCCTCCACTGTGAAACTACTATACAACACATACAGAAGTAGAGCTTAGATTATAATTATTTTTATAATTATATATATATATTAACATTGAAGTCATATATTTACATACGCTCTATCTCCGATATTGAGCACTTAATCCCATAAATATAGTACACATTACAACTATGTTTCTTCATATATATATATATATATATATATATATATATATGGGATAAGTACAAATATCACATTTGTCACTTAGCTCATTCATGTTATATACATTCGGCAACTTAGCCCATATATTTCGTAGACGAACATTTTTTTAATTGTTCAGTCCACTATATATGTGTGTGTAAGCAAATATATGGATATAGATCCGACAGTATGAAGAAAATATACAAAAAAAAAAAAAAAATTAATATGCAATTATGCTGTATTAATGTTAATATAAAGTCAACGTCGGACGTTTCGGTCTATTTTAGATCATCTTCAGGACATTTTCATTTAAACATAATTAACATTAGAACATATAAAAATCCAACATGAAAAGAAGATGGACATAAGAGCACAACTAATCCAAACAGATAACTGAAATTTTTATTTAAGATCAGCGTTCCGTTTAAATATGATCACGTCGTCGTCACGTGGGCGATGTTGTGAAAACATATTCAAAGATGATTTCCAAATATTAAAATATTAAAAAAGTCGATTGAACTATTTTATATAAACAGTTCAAAAAATCCCTTCCGTTGATATAGGAATACGCAGAATGTGTGTGTGTGTATATTTCTTGTACACAGAGAGAAACACGCACATATATTTCCGTTTTGCTTTATCAAATTTATTCTCCGAAAAATAAAGTACTAATACATTTTATTCAATTATATATTAAACATTACTCGTAATGAGTTCTTGCCACTTAACTGTATGCTCATCAATACATTTTATTTAAAATTCCGTAGGATTTGATGCGTAAGCAAGTTTTCAAATGGTACCGCAGCACCGAATTCCGTCCCATATTTACTTCTATGTATAAACGTCGTACAGAGAAAAAGTTTGTTCATATATATATATATATATATATATATATATATATATATATTCGTGTCCTGGCACATTGATTAATGAAGTGCATAGCGAATGTTCTTCACTTGTTGAACACAGAAAGGAAGGGAAATAAACAAAGGAATATTGCATCGAACAAGACACATATCACTTGCTAGACTGGGCCCTTTCAAAGCTTTTTCTACAGAACAAGAATCGGCGGGAGACACACCGAATTTTGCAGTACGTTAACCAATCAGATAATACTAACGCTTCCGCCCTGATTTGTCCCAACCAATCACTTCCTTTTGTAGAAATTAGACACGTCGAGTTGTGTACATCGTAGCCATGAAAGACTCTTTTCACTCTTCATTAAACTGGGATGAATACTACAACGTTTTTCATCTCTTTGTGTGGCGAAATGATTTAAAGAATAGGCACGCCTGAAAAAATGGCATTGGCAATGAATTCTGTAGAAATATTGGCGTAGCCACTCGGGAAGAACTTTAATTTCAGTGCATATATTTCAGATGAGTGAGGCCAGTAATCAAAAAGAATATTGCCTGACTGACTGACGACGACAAAAGTAACTATACATGTAAAAAAATGAATGCACACACACACACACAAATATATATATATATATATATATATATATATATATATATATATATATATGTGTGTGTGTGTGTACGTGCATTTGTACATAGATAAGTAAAAATAATATGGTCAAAAGGCATCAGTGCATATATCTATTTTCATTATAAAATGTATACTGCGGGAACATGTAGTTAAAGAAAAAATATATATATATATATATATATATATATATATATATATATATATATATATATATATGTACATGTTTTGTTTACACATTAAATTATTAAATTAAATATGTTTTGTTTTGTATTACATTTAAATTAAGTAAATATCCGGTTATCTGTCTATGCGCGCTAACGCACGTACATGCAGTCTAATTGTTTGGTTGATATCTATCTATCTATCTATCTATCTATCTATCTATCTATCTATTTCAAACAGTTAATTTATGTATCTCTGTCTGCCCATATCCATCTATCTATTTCAAACGGTTCTTTTTATGTATCTATGTCTGTTTTTTATATATATATATATATATATATATATATATATATATATATATATATATATATATATATCAATATCAATCTCACATCTACCTCTCTGCCTATTTCAAACGGTTCATTTATGTATCTCTGGCTGCCCATCTCTATCTATCTATCTATCTATCTATCTATCTATCATATCTATCTATCTATCTATGTATCCAGCTAGCTAGCTAGCTTTCCCACGTGTCTACTTGTTATTGGTGATGAATCAGTGTACATAGTTCGAAATCCGATAAATATTTCCTTTTTTTTTAGACCTCCCTTGTTAAAGGCATGCATATACCGTTCTCTGCTTTTTATATTATCCCCAGATTTTAGTAACAGTAAACAATTTCTAACGGTCAGTTTAGAACTTCTTTTCGTTTACTAGTACCATGTTATTGGGAAAGGATATGGGAAATCTCCACTAACAGTTTTCTTCCAGGGGTAATATGTACGTCTCTGCATATTCCTCTTCCGATTTCATAGATCGTGTCATGAACCACGAACCATTTAAATACCAATGCATATCCATCTGCTCGCAATTGTGTATAAGAAAATCTCTTTGTCTTCGGACTACATATATATCTCTACATATCTCTATACACACACACACACTTATATATATATATAGTTTCAGATGGACTTCGTACTGGGCCTCCAACTAATTTCCATCTAAGCAATATATTTTTTTAAAATTTTTTATGATTACTTTTATTTTTCTTAATACATATTTTCCATCTTTTTTTTCATGATAATTTTGTTTAATGCTATGGGTATGAGTCAATGTGCTCAATATCAGGGATAGAACGTATGTAAATATAAAAATGGATGTTGAGGTCAACACCGAGCGGCGACAGTCTGCTTGATGCCTAAACGCTATCTTCAATTCATGAAATGAGTTTAATGGTGGAACAAACAGTCACTTAAAATAATTTAATCGGTCGAGCACTGTGTGAAGTAAGGAACGAATTTGTAAACAGTCACTATTACTGCTGATAATGCAAGACTCTCTTAGCGACTGAGTTCTTTGAGTGACTGGCGTGTTTATAGGGCTGGGTAGAATCTCCGACTGATACCAAATCTCTCGGGTCTCGGCCCCTGAAGCGATCGGAAATCTAGCCACAATAAATAGATAGAGCGAAACAATCTGTCTGTTGATATATATATATATATATATATATATATATATAATGGACTCCCCCGTCGGTTTCGACGTATGAGGATCTGAGAGCTTACTTGATTCAGTTATGAAAATTTGTGCAATAATCATAAGTGGCACTTAAAAACCGCTAGTGATTTACAAAGGAGGCCACACATGGAGCAAGTGTGAGGATTGTGAGATGCGATCACTGTTAGATTGGCTGACCTTTTAGATCTTGCTCTCACTTCTTGAAGATGATTCAGACAAGTGAGAACGGAAACTGCTGAGTCCATTAAAGCACGTTGATCTCTCTCTTCTCGCTCCCATATATATATATATATATATATATATATATAGAGAGAGAGAGAGAGAGAGATAAATAAATAGATAGATAGATAGATAGATAGATAGATAGATAGATAATTAGTAGACTGAAGTAGATAGATATATTATGGAGAGATTGCTGCGACAGATAGGCTGCTAGATCGATATAGATACTAACAAACATCAGAGTTCAGTGCCGCCTATCAAAATCGTAAGTCTGAGTAAGTCTGAGTTTCACGCTATGATTGTCGTCTGCAAGATTTGATTAAGATCGGTTTGAAATAAGTTGAAAAAAGATGAAGAAATCAGCAAAAATAGCTGCTGACATGGCAAAATAAGCAAAGAAAAAAATTGGGGACGGACATAACAGGTTTGGGCGACTTTAAAATGCGGGAAGAAAGAGTGAATGTTGTCAGTCTGGTGATACACGACAAAATCATTTCCCTTCTCACTAGCGGAAATCAATAAGATTACATCCTTACACTGTTCTAATATAGCCAATTTTTCTTGCAAATATTTTCTAAAATTGACCTGCCTATTTTACATGGTTTACAAAAATAATTCATCTTAAAATTTTTCAGTAGGAAGCTGAGTGTGCCCATAGTCTTCTTTTTATCAGAATTTTAAATTACTTTATGAATTATATCCGTTTATCCAGTCATTCTAAGAAAAGTCTATACGTAAATTTTATTCTGTTTATTTCGGCCAGATAGCTAGCTAGCTAGATTGATAAAGCGATAGAAAGATAGACATGAACAGACTGTGATAGATAGATAGATAGATAGATAGATAGATAGATAGATTATCGTTTTGAAAATGAATTCTTTCTAAGAAAAGTGATAATGGCACTAAGGCAAGGGGCTAATCGTGTAAGAGATTGATAAACCTTTATAATGAACCGAAGATCCAATCCTGTAGAAATACCGTATAATAAATCAAAATTGAAACAAAATATATATATATATATATATATATATATATATATATATATATATATATATATATATATATATATATTGGCGTGTTTATGCAAAAATAAATACATAAGAATTCACCTTTCTCTCTGCCGGGCGCTGATATCTAATTAGAATCTCCGACTGATGCCAAATCATTCGGGTTTTGGTCCTGGCTTTAGACGATCGGATGTCTTGCACACTGATGAGCTGTCATACAGCAAAACAGTCTGTCTGTGGATGACGACACACACACGCGCGCACAGGCGCGCACACACACACACACACACACACACACACACACATATATATATATATATATATATATATATATATATATATATATATTTATTTAAAAATTATATCATATGTTATAAAAAATCACTACAAAAATCGCCATTTTGTTTCAACACCTCTGGTGTGTTATCAAGTGATGATGTTGAATGTATATTGTAGAATAAAGGTTTTAAAAGGTTCAAATTAATTAACCACCGCTCGTAAGGGAAAACGTTGTTACATGAGCTTGAATGACCATTACATATATATATATATATATATATATATATATATATTTATATATAGTATTCATAAAACAGGTCAATATTTGGTATTCGCTTGTTCCCATTTATAAAGCTTTCTTCAATACCTTTTATATAAAATTCCATATATATAAAAGTATTTACAAGAAACACTTGAAACTTCTTTTCGCTACCAAAGCGTTTTGCAGCGATCTAAACAGATAACAATCGGTCGGCCTAAGGACAGGTAAATATCGCGAATGGAGTCGAAAATGACACTTGAGTTCCAAAATAACTGTTTTACTTGCTGCGGAGGAAAACAACAATTTTGCCAATTGACGATCGATTTTTAACCAAACTTTATGGACCTTTTCCAACTACTTGCATTTTGTGTCTTGATGCGTTTTATGAAATACTAGCAGTAGAGCCCGGCGTTGCCCGGAGATGTAACAGTAAGAGATAGATCAAGTATCGACCATCATAAAGACTGAAAAATAAAATTGACAAAGATTATTGTTTAAGGTTGACGGACTCGCATGTCTTAATTAGTTTTCTTTTTTTTTTACGAATTGGTCAAACCCAAATTCAAACAAAATCATTGTTTTCAATCGTTATGAGTCTACCGATTGAATAGAATTTTATTATAAACGATTGTCTTGTAAATGGAATTTTTAAAGCATTCTGAATGTAAAAATAAAGAAAAAAGTGTGCAAGGCAATAAAAAACACTACCTGGCAAAAAAAAGTGAAGTTTTGTTGAGATCGGTTGAAAAATGTAGGAAATCCGATCCCATATATAAACGAACACACACACACACACACACACACGCACACACACACACACACACACACAACCTGGGTTTTATAATAAGTATAACTCGATATGAGTTGTCCCCCTTTCATTCTCGTGATGCCTCTTAATCGTGTTTTCAAATTGATTTCGTGCAAAAACAATTGTGTTTTTCCAATTTTTGGCGCTGTCAGAACCACCGCAAGGTAATTTTACGTAGTGCTGTGAAGTTTTGTTAAAATCGGTTGAAAAATGTAGGAAATCCGATCCAATATATAAACGTACAGACACACACACACAATCTGCGTTTTATAATAAGTAAGATAACTGAATAATTCTTGTACTATTCCATCACAGGGACAACGTTACCTTCCTTCCATGGAGCTCAGGTTTTTGAGGATGCATATCCTTGACTGCTTTTTGTATTGAACATTGCCCTATGATAGTATCGTTCACATTTATTCGTAACTTCCACATGAAATTCGTAGTTAACATGAAACATGAAATCCTTACTCATGGTCGTGGAATTTACACATGACATAAACTAATAGACAGTACGGACACAGAAATCAACACTGAATGATGAAGGTCAGGTCAGTTTGTAACCTGAAGCGATTATCAGATTATACAGACACTAGTGTTGAATCATATGTCCACTTACGTATCTATCTATCTGACCAAGATAAATAAATAAAAAAAATAATATTTAGATATTCTTGAAATGAGTTGAAAAAACGGATATAATTTATAAACTGTTTTCGCTCATTACTTCGTCTTTTTTTTTTAAACTGATTTTTAAACGTTCTACCTCAAATCTTGATGGCGACTGTCATAGCGTGAAACTCAGACTTACGATTTTGATCGGAGGCAGTGGTCTCTGTTGTTTGTTAGTATCTATCTATCTATCTATCTATCTATCTATCTATCGCAGTCTCTTCATGATCTATAAGTCTGTCTCTCTCTCTCTCTCTCTATATATATATATATATATATAAGTATATATATTTGTATATTTAGGCAGCAATCCTTCCTTTATGCATGTTTCATTAAAAACGACAGACAAGGTAGTACGGTTGAGCTTTTTATTTAATTTTTTCTTGTCTTCTGACAAAGCTGTCTTTTTCTGGACAAAAGGTGTGTAAGAACTGTGTCGAATGTTCTGCGTTTCCAGGCGCTTTCGGCTATACCTTTAGCCATTATCAAGGATGATTCAATTATCAGCTTAGTAGAGTGTGTGTTTTGCAAAAAAAGACTAAAAATAATGGAAGCTCTAATAATAAAAAAGAAAAAGCCAACCCTTAACAATATTAACTATGAACAAAGCCACAATGTGCTAACCATATTCGGAAACTAAAAACATCACTACCACACACTGAACATACACAGAATGCACACACTCTACTAAGCTGATAATCGAATCATCCTTGATAATGGCTAAACGTATAGCCGAAAGCGCTCGGAAACACAGAACATTCGGACAGTTCTTACACACTCTTTGTCCAGAAAAGAAAGCTCTTGTCAGAACACAAGAAAAATTAAATAAAAAGCTCAACTGTAGTACCTTGTCTGTGGTTTTTAATGAAACATGCATAAAGTATATATATATATATATATATATATATACACACACACAGACACACACATATATATATATATATATATATATATATATATATATATATGAAGATGATGAGACAAAGTGAAAAAAACTTTTAAACGATGCGGAATGAAAGACAAAACTGTATGTAATGAACCGGGATTTTTGAGGATCAGAAAGTATATATATATATATATATATATATATATATATATATATGTGTGTGTGTGTGTGAAAAGTGTATATAAATATAAATAAATATGTATAATTATTTATATATTATATGCGCGGTACTTATTAGAAAGCGCTCAATATCAGAGATAGACCTAACATATTTTTGGATAGATGTGAGTTTGTGACCTGGGTTTCACCCTTTGGTGATCGTCAAACAAAGCGTGAAACCCAGGGTCACAAACTCACATCTGTCCAAATATATATATATATATATATATATATATATATATATATATATATGTCATGTCATCCAGACAAACTGTTTCGCTGTGTCACAGCTCATCAGTGTAACTAGACGTCCGGATGCTTCTAGCTAGGATCGAAACCCGGCTGAATATATATATATATATATATACATATATATATATGTTAAGAAATGGACAAGGTCCGACAATTTATTTATTAAAGACATTTTTATGTTTAACGTTATTTATTTTTAGATACAAGTATTTAAGCAAATGCTCTGTTTATGATAAACAGTATTAAATAACATTTACCGGCCTGAATGTCCGAGAAATTTTCATAGAAAATCCTGTCAAAGAACGAAAATTTTCTATGAAAATTTTCGACATTCAGGCCGGTAATGTTATTAATACTGTTTATCATAAACAGAGCATTTGCTTAAATACTTGTATCTATAAAATAACAACGTTAAACATAAAAATGTCTTTAATAAATATATATATATATATATATATATATATATATATATATATATATATATACAAAGTATAGAATTGGTGTATACGGATTAATTTCAATAACCAACAAATACTATTCTTAAAAGAGTGCTCAATACAGAGTAGAGAAATTTAATTATTTATTCGAAAATTCTAACATAAATATGTTATAAAATCACAACAAAAATAGCCATTTTGTTTCAACACTTCTGGTGTTGTATCAAGTGATGGTGTTGAAGTAGAATAAAGGGTTTTTAGGTTCAAATCAATCAAACATCCCTCGCTAAGGAGAAACGCTGTTACATAAGCTGGAATGACCATTCAAAATACAAGTATACGAGGATTCAAAAAACCTGACAACGAACTGAGGTCATGATAATTATTTAATGCTTTAATTTTGGGGTTAGTCTAAAATAGAATTTATTTTAATAAATATTAAATTATACGATAAACTTTGAAATTACAAATTAAAAAAGTACTCATTTTAAAATTTAAATTTAATCTATATTAAGTTTAAAATTATAAAATTACTGAGGAAAAAATACATATGTTATTCTATTTATTTTGTTTTTATTGAAATTAAGTTGGAATAAACGTTAAGATCAAATGTTGTTCCAAACTTCATGACAACATAGATACATTTGAAGCATAAACAGAGGCAGGAGAGGATGACATATTGCAAAAGACAATACATACACAATCAGATTATAATACATAAACACGCAGACGTATTTAGATATATACACACCGAAAAAAGCCTCGAGGCAGAAAATATCTTCGCGACCATTAACCCCTCAAAAAACAAAAAAAAACAAAAAAACAAAACAAAAACAACAACATACATACACAAAGAAAAGTACACACAAGTGACCATACACACAGACACCAATAAAGACACGTCTACACACGCATACATTGAAAAAGACGCTCCGATACACCTACCAAGAAATATTCAAGTTTGAAATTTTTAATCAACGAATTCTAAACACATATTAAAATATAACTTATACGGGCAAATATACATAGATGAAAATGGTAGAATAGATAAAATTCAGATTGGGCAGAACAGAAAAACAAACCTTAGGGAAAGAAAGGTCATTAAAGCAGATAGTCATGGATAGAAAAATAGATATATACGCGTGAAAATAACACCATCTGATATATAAAAACGAAAACTCCAAGCGAACAAATATATATATATATAAATATTTCCTATATACCTATATACGGACTAGTGCACATTCACGAGTACAAAAATATAACAGTAGGTGAAAGAAAAAAAAAACTACATACAGACATACGTGTACACAGATTCTTCACTACAGACAGAAACACAGAAAAGCCTACCTACAGGCAAACATATACACACATATATACATATACACACGCATAAACACATACATATATCTATCAATCTATCTATCTATCTATATATATATATATATATATATATATATATACTGATACACACATACATATACGCATACGTATATGCATATATACACATACAGAAGCAAGCAGAAATATATCAACCCACACAGCAACATAAAAAGGTAAACAAACCAAATATATATATATATACATATATACATACATCTCTTTCTATCTCTCTCTCTCTCTCTCTCTCTATATATATATATATATATATATATATATATATACACAGCGAAACACACACAAATGCATATATACACGCATACACATATACAAACACGTGCATATATATAAAACACATACAAATGCAAACTTAAAACACACACACATATATATATCTATATCTATATACACACATACGCACATATATACGCACACACATATATATATATATATATATATATATATATATATATATATATATATATATATAAATATAAATAGGGATAAAATGCATATATAAGACTACACATATTCTCACAATATTATCTTATTGACGGTAAAGGACTGTAAAGTCCATACAAGATTAAAATGTAACGTGACACAATTGTTGATTATTACGTCTATAAGCAATTATAAAAGCATTATCAAACAAAAGTAGATTTTAGTATTGATGTTACATTCCAAGACACTAAGATATATATACACATACATATATGAAGTCATACGCACATATATTCATATGTACATATATATAAACATCTATAAATACCCATTACGCATATATACAAATCCACACATACACATATATAAATTCACAGACATACACTCATATATATATATATATATATATATATATATACACGCACATGTAGACACATACCAAAGTATACATACCTACACATACGCACAAACAAGCACACGTATGATAGGTGTCCACACACACACACACACACACACACACACACACACACACACACACACACACACACACACACACACACACATATATATATATATATATGTATATATACACATACACACATATAACTATGTGTACAGATATATTCGTATATACACATAAACTCATACACATTCAACTTATATATATATATATATATATATATATATATATATATATATATATATATATATATATATATATATATCCTCCTCTCTTATTCGCCTCCTTTTTCCTTTTTTGCCTTCTTTCTTTTATAAAAAATCATGCGTACATACATACATATATATATATATATATATATATATATATATATATATATATATATATATATCAATTAGTAAAACACACATACACACACATGCAGACACGAACAACGCAGTGCATGTAGAACAACACACCTACATCAACAGGAAGCCCATCAGGTAATAAATTTAATAACCTATTAAACTTACAGTGACATATCGTTATCCTTGAAAGTATTACAACCCCAATAGTGAGTTAAATTTATAGTGGTGTCTACAGTTAACAGTTAGTTCATATCTTTGATTTAAAGTTTCGTCCAGGTTCCTTACCCCCGAGGCGGAGAGTTTGACAGTAATAAATGGTTTGGAGAACCGTTATATTTAACAGACCCCCGCCACGTGGGTCGTATGTGGCACAAGGCCGAGTTTATCGTGAGTTGTCCGAGCCCGTAGGGTCGGCCAAATATATTCCCTCAGAAGCTGCATAAACAAGTTCAGGGCCTGTCTACCTCCCGGGACGAAACTTTTTCCTTCGGCAAAGCCTTGTCCGGGTTCCTCTCTGCCGAGGCAGAGAGTCCGACAGCAATGAGCCTTTCCCCCCAGGTTTACTTTTCCTAGTAGTGGAAGTGGAAGTGTCCATAATAGACGGAGGACACCACAACAGAAACATCGATTAACAAGCAATTTACGATCTGTAAACGAAATCATCCCATTCTTTTATTTCAACTTCGCAATAGCATTCTTAATTCAAGAAAACCTATTCATCAATCTTAACAAATAAATGTCGTAGGTAATAACAAACTGTAAGTTGTCTGAAATAATGTTTCATTCTAAAAATTACACGCATTCAATATCCGAATCTAATTAACTGGTGTGTTTTAAGAGACATATTTTGAAATATGACATTGTCAAAATGACATTGACGGATGTTAAGTTGGTGCTTAGGACATATGTGAATGTCGTAAAATCAGTGGTGGACTGGGTCACAAAAAAAATGGCTGCCAGGAGACAAAGCGGACCACCCAAAAACTAAAGTGCTACAGTTTAATTTGATAACGAATTATTAAAATTAAAAAAAAAATATGTAAGGAAAACAGTTTACAATTAAAATAATTGTGGAAAAATCCATATTTCTTTGTAATTGCATTGAATATGTACGAGTACTCTGCATATTACTGGCAGTTGATATCAAATGTAAATACAGAATTTTAAAATTTAAGTTTTTATTCATTTTTTCAATTTTACATAATTTGTTGATATTTTTAAATAGTTTTCTGAAAA